CTTACATACTCAAATGATGCTGCCCTTACCCTTTTACATGTAAGAAAACTGAGGCAAAGTGATTCTAAGAAAGAGACAATGGAAATAGGTTACCATGGTAAAAGAGAAAGAAAGCATGGGGAAATTCTGGGTAGAGGTGGGTTAGAAGAAATGAAGGAAGCTTTCATGTAGATATCCTGTTACTGTGAACTTAATAGGGAAAGAGAAGAAAATAGGATTGGAACTTTCCTGGAATGAGAAAATCTGCAGTCAGTGTAATAAAAACAAAAAACAAAGGAAGGAAGGAAGGAAGGAAGGAAAGAAGGAAGGAAGGAAAGAAGGAGAAAGAAAGAAAAAGAGAAGGAAAAAGAAAAAGAAAGAAAGGAAGGAAGGAAGGAAGGAAGAAAGAAAGAAAGAAAGAGGGAGAGAGAGAGAGAGAGAGAGGGAGACAGATATCCTTGTCTTCTTGGAGTAAAGCCAGATCTCTGTTCTGATACAGAGTCACATTGCTCCACCTAGTGACAATCTCTAGACAGTGCATTGAGTGTCTGCAGTAGCCAACCAGATCCATTGAATTAGAACCTTGAAATGGAAATGGAGGGGAGAAGTGGTTGATTATAAAATTAATATATCATATTAATGATATATATGCTATAATATAATATATATCATATATGATATATATATTAAAAGAAAAAAAAGAAAAGCCTGGGAGCGGTGGCTCGCGTCTGTAATCCTAGCTACTTAGGGAGCTGAAATCTGAAGTCCACAGTTCAAAGCCAGCCTGGGCAGGAAAGTCAGTAAGACTCATCTCCAACTACTAAAAGCTGGGAATGGAGCTGTGGCTCAAGTGGTAGAGTGCTAGCTTTGAGGGGGGAAAAAAAAGCTCAGGGACAGTACCCAGGCCATGAGTTCAAGCCTTAGGATCAGCACATACAAAAAGCTTCCTATGGTGCTCTAATGTGCTGCTATTTCTGAAAATTACTGACCAAACTCATGCTTTCCCTATGACATGGTGACTTTGTGATGCCAGTCACTATCTCAGAACATACCTGGGAAGGCAGTAACCCAGGCCCTATCTTTTGCTTTTTGCATTCGTTCCTCAGTAAGTTCGTTCTTCTTCCTTTCCTTTCTTCCTTCCTTTCCTGTCCTTTCTTTTCCTTCCTTCCTCCCTCTCTCCCTCCCTCCCTCCTTTCCTTCCTTCCTTCCTTCCTTCCTTCCTTCCTTCCTTCCTTTCTCAGTCCAAGACCAGGACTCTAGCTCAGTACCTGCTGCTTTTGTTCATTGGCTAGTGCTTCATCAACTGAGCCATACCTCTAATCCCAATGATGGGTTCATTCTTTTTTTATTTTTTGAAAGGGGGCTCATTGTTTCCCATCAACTAACCAGGAAGTGTTCATTAAGTTCTGGGGACACACAGGGCACACAATGACTAAAGGCTCAGTTCTTATGGAGTTTGCAGTAAGGAAGAGAGACTAGCCAGTCTGTACTTAGGAGATGGTGCTAAGTAAGCAGCCATGACACCGAGCTAGAGCATGACTGAAGTCAGACAAGGACTCTGAGGAGATGATACTGAAGCTGAGACTTGAAGAGCAAAAACCAGTCTGCCATGGGAGAAGTTGCAGCAGGGTTTCTGTCAACCCACATAGTGTCTTTGATCTAAAAAGTAATTAGCTTCCCTCTAGACTCACACATCCCTGATGACTGATGATAAATGCCTACTGGTATTGTGGTGGGAAAAGATAGGTTTCTCCAAGCAATTACAGCCTCTCACAAGGAGGCACAGTTTATCAAGAAAATTGTGGTTAGATTTCCACCAATTCTACATCTCAGTTGAGTATTTTTGTGTTGCGAAAATGTGCACAATTTTCCATGGGATTTGGGGTAAGTGGATTGATATAAAAGATGGAATTAATTTGGTACTGGTAGCTCATGCCTATAATCCTAGCTACTCAGGAGGCTGAGATCTAAGGATTGCAGTTTGAAGCAAGCCCAGAGCAGGAAAGTCTGTGGGACTCATCTCCAATTAACCACCAGAAAACTGAAAACATCACTGTGGCTCAAAGTGGTATAGCACTAGCCTTGAGCCAAAAAGCTCAGGGACAACACCCAGGCCCTGGGTTCAAGCCCCACAACCGACTCCCCCTCCCCCACCAAAAAAAGATTGAATTACATATACCAGAAAAAACCTTATGTGTCCTATAAACTCAGAGACCAGTGGCAGGTAGGCACTAGATAACACAGGATCTTGTAGAGGAATATAAAGATTTTGTATCCTATTTAATTCAGAAGTCAGTGGAGGCTTTCAAGCAGGACTACAAGAATCTAAATAAAATTTCTTTAAAAATATCTCTTCTAGGGCTGCGAAGGTGGCTCAGTGGTAGAGTGCTTGCCTTGCATGCACAAGGCCCTGGATTTGGTTCCTCAGCACCATATAAACAGAAAAAGCTGGGAAGTGGCGCTGTGGCTCAAGTGGTAGAGCTGAAGAGCTGAAGGACAGTGCCCAGGCCCAGAGTTCAGGCCCCACAACAAACCAAAAAAATACCTCTTCATCTCATCTATTGTGATGAGACTCTATTGGGGGTAATAAGGAGATTGAGTAGTCAGATGTTAATACTTTGGATTAGGATGGTAATAGTCAGAGAGTTGAGAAATGGATAGGTTTGTGACACATTTAGGAAGCACATTGACAGCTGGGATGGAGGTAAAGAGGTAAAGAAGGCTACTAGATTTCTGATCAGAACACCTGGGTGGGTAGAAGTGTTATTTGCTAGAGCGAGAAGAACAAGTGGGGAGGAGGGGCAAATCAGGGATGGCATTTTAGCAACTTCAAGTTCAAAATATCTGTGAGATATTTAAATGGAGATGCCAAGTAGAATTTGTCGTAAAAAATCTGAGGAGGAGCTAGGCATTGGTAGCTCAAACTTGTAATCTTAGCTACTCAGGAGACTGAGAACTGTGGAGCACAGTTCAGAGTCAGCTTGGGTAGGAAAGTCCCTGATACTTTTATTTTCAATTAATCACCATAAAACCAGAAGTGGAGCTGTAGCTCAAAGTGGTATAGTGCTAGACTTGAGCAGAAAAGCTCAGGGACAGTGCCCAGGCACTGAGTTCAAACCACATGACTGACAGAAAAGAAAGAAAGAAAGAAAAGGAAGGAAGGAAAAGAAAAATCTCTCATCTATTATTGAACACTGAATGGCTTTGGAAATTAGTATTTGTATTTGTTGTAAGTTTGATAGTCCTCTCTCTCTCCCTCTTTCTCTTTCTCAGTGGTACTGGAGGTTGAGCCAAGAGTCTACTCTACTATGTGCTGTACTACTTGAGCACACTCTCAGCCCTTACTGCTTTTAGTTATTTTTTGGAATATACTTTCCCATTTATGCCCAGGCCAACCTGAACAGAAATCTAATTTAATGCTTTCCTCATAGTTAGGATGACAGGTATATTCCACTATGCATAACATTAGCTGAGATGAAGTTGTGCTAATTTTTTGTCCAGGATGTTCTAGAACTTCAATCCTCCTGATCTCTATCTCCTAATAAACTACAATTCCAGATATGAGCCACTGTATTCAGGTTGATAATATTGTGTGTATGTGGTGTGTGTGTGTGTGTGTGTGTGTGTGTGTGTGTGTGTGCTGGTCCTGAGGCTTGAACTTAGGGCCTGGGCACTGTCCCTGAGCTTTGTTGCTCAAGTCTAGCAGTCTACCACTTGTCACCATTCTACTTCTGGATTTTTGGTGGTTAATTGGATATGAGAGTCTCACAGCCTTTGTTTCCCGGGGTGGCTTTGAATTGTTATCCACAGTTCTCCGTCTCCTGAGTTGCTAGAATTATAGATGTGAGCCACCAGTGCCTGGCACAAGTATAGGAATTTAGGAATCTTAGTTTGGATTCCTTAGGAAGTATTATCTAAAGGAGCAGCGGTGGCTCACATCTGTAACCCTAGCTACTCAGGGGGCTTAGACTGAGGATTGCGGTTGAAAGCCTGGTTGGGCAAGAAAGTCTGTGGGAGTCATCTGCAATTAAGCACTAGAAAAGCTGGAAGTAGAATTGTAGCTCAAGTGTTAGAGTGCTATCCTTGAGCACAAAAGCTCAGAGATACCATCCAGCCCTGAGTTCAGTCCCACCTTATTACAAATCAAAGTATTTGTAATCAATCAGTTTTGATGAAAGAGAACTCTGACAGTGGTCCCCAATCAAGCAAAATATTACTCTCACAATAATTCAATTCTTTTGATTACTAGGCCTATAGTATTTAAAATATATGCACTTATTATATTTTTAGTTTTAATGGTAAAGTATTTGTGGAGATTTGATTTTTTCTTTATTATGCAAGAAGTTTGTACATAACCTCAAATTTTCTCTGGATCCTATAAAGTCTAAAATGTTTCCTCTTTACCCTTTAGAGAAGAAGTCCTCCAGTTTAGGTTGTCTCCACATTTTGTGTGTGTGTGTGTGTGTGTGTGTGTGTGTGTGTGTGTGTGTGTAGTATGTGCTGGTTCTGGGGATTGAACTCAGGTCCTGGGGCTTTTTTGCTCAAGGCTAGTGCTCTACTACTTGAGGCACAACTTTGCTTTTGGTCTTTTGGGTGGTTAACTGGCATTAAGAATCTCACGGACTTTCCTCTGTGTACCCGCTTTGAACTGCAATGCTCAGATCTCAATCTCCTGAGTAGTATAGGCGTGTACCACCAGTGCCTGGCTTGCCTCAATATAGTTATACAATATACTTTTATTATAAAATGATAAAAGCAAACAGTCAGGATGTGCATGAAGCTAACAGGCAAAGTAACAACACGTACTAAAGCTTCAAAGAAAGGTATGTAGCACTGAGTAGTCTAAAAGCCCTCATTGGATATAGAGAGTGTCAATCTTCACTTTTCAGCAAATCAGGTTACAGATTAGAACTCATAAAGTAGGTGTGCAGCCTTTGTTGATGCTTTTACACTCTACCTCCCTCCCCCGCCCCTATCACCACATAGAATCCCACACACACACCGTTTTGTCTTCTAAGGCAATGTTTGGTTGGTCAATCCAGCGATGGAGCCCCTGCTCTTTCTATAGGGCATCACTAGAGGCAGAGTTGTCCCTTCAGCAGTTGGCTGTTCCAAAGGCCCTCCCCTCCCCTCAGACTCCTCGTGTACGGGCCTCCTTACGTCAACGGGCCTCCTTACGTCAACGGCCTCCTTACGTGGCAACCAGCTTGGTGGCCATCATTGTTGCGTTGTCTGCAATACCTAATTCCAATAGCAACGCTGTTGGGATACCAACTGGTGTCATGTCTGCCACCAGAAATGGAGATCCTACCGATGAAGGCCAAGAGGGCCGGGTGAGCTCCACTGGAGACTGGGCCCAAATGGCTCAAGAGGGTGAGGGGATGGGCGGTGGCTCCGGCCCACAAGAGTGCGATGTGGCACCGGTGGCTGGGGAAGCTGAAGTCCCTGGGCCTGGGGAGGTGGAGGCCATAGAGGCAGAGGGAGGCCCCGAGGAGGAGGAACGTAGTGAGCAGGCCGTAGTCCTCGCCCAAAACTTGGAGGGCAGTAATAACGATGAGGATTCTGACATCGGGCCCGCTGAGGAGGAGGGGGGGGACCAGAATATAAGCCATGGCCTTATAGTGGATGCCCGCCAATTCCCCATGGTTGGCTTCCGGTTCATGTTTCTGGACTTGGTCCACACTCTCCTACATCGTCTCCACTACAACGACCATATCCTTATCCGGTCTGACCACCACGTAATAGTGCGACCCCGCCCTCCTGCCCCCGATGGCTCTGGCGAGTTGCTGGCACTCTCCGTACCCCAGCGGCCCAGGGTAATGGCTGCATCCCTAGAGGGTGAAGGCGAGGGCCCAGGTCCTGGTTTGTCTCGAGCATCCTCAATCCTGGCGCTGGAGGAACCAAGAGAGGAAATGGCAGCAGCCTTGCATTCTGATGAGCCATTGGAGGAAGTGCCGGTGGTGATCACAGAACAGGAGGCTGACGAGAAGGTAGAAGAGATGACAGTGGGGATTGCAGACAAAGTGGTAGAGGAGCCAGCAAAGGACAGCGTGGAGTATGTCACTCTCTCCAGTGGTAAGAAACAGTGTGCAGAGGCCAAAGGTCAGACACTGCTGGACAGGGGAGGTGGGAAAACTGGGATAAGCAGTGGGTGGGAAGGGTGAGGAAGTTATACGTGAGGCCCTGCCCCAACTTAAGGACCACTATCAGGATAGAAGCCCAATTGTATAAGGTCTTTATAGCTTTGTCCTCTATCAACTCCTGTTTATAAGAGCTGAGATTATTGATGTAATTTATGAGGACACAATGGGAAATAGGTGCCCGGAAGGAAATGTGGGAGAAAAAATGGAAGGGGTGCGTGAAGGAGGGGGGGAAGCAAATGATGTACCTCATTTTGTGTTCATGGCTTTTTAATAACAATTTCAAGATTCAGCACTGGGTGAAAAGGGAATGAATAGTCAAGGGATTGAGGAAAAGATCTGCTTCACCATAGAATGTGTCTTTGAAGCAAACAAATATTTTCCCAGCCAAGTTCTGCCCAAAACATGGAGAATGCAAACAGACCCAGTGCCTTGGATCCTTTCCTCAAAAGACAGGTAATTACCAGCACTGGGTGGGAAATTTATTGGGAAAGGGGAAACAAAGAATGAGTGCCACCGAATGGTACTTATCAGCAACAAAACTGTGTTTAACTCTCTTTAAAAGCTAATTTCCATCCTCCTATGAGTGCCTGCTCTCAAAGTCTATATTATTCTTCCCTAAAGAAATAACTCAAGAGCAGGGTGATAACCATAGTGAGGACAAAGAGGACATTGAAGAGGAGGATAAGGAAGGAGCAGAGGAAGACACAAAGGAGGAAAACTAAAGTAACTAATGTGGAACCAACATGTTACAGCTCCAGAAAAATCTAGGTAAAAGTGATTGTAGTTTAAACTCAACATTCTTGCATTTCCTGCTTACTTAGAGCTTTATTGTTTTTAGTAAGTTAAGAAAAAATACTTAAAATTAGGTTAAAATTCAACTTAATCTTCTTGGAATGTGACTAGAAGACTCCTATACCAAGTAATATAAAATGCAATGTGTTCTCAAATATACGTCATGGCTGCTGGGCTATTCTTCTGAGGGCTTTTGTCACTGCTATAAGACTACTAACAAGTGGCAAAGGTCTAAGACTTAGTTTTTATTTTATTTTTTTGGGGGGGGGGGGTCCGGTTGTGGGGCCTGAACTCTGGGCCTGGGCACTGTCCCTCAGCTCTTCAGCTCAAGGCTAGTGCTCTACCACTTGAGCCACAGCACCACTTCCGGCTTTTCTTTTTGCTTATGTGGTGCTGAGGAATCAAATCCAGGGCCTCATGCACGCAAGGCAAGCACTCTACCACTGAGCCACCTTCCCAGCCCAGGTCTAAGAGTTAGTAATGGAGACTAATATGAGTGTGTGCAATAGTTCCCAGAACGAGCAATAAAAATGGTAGGGCAAGTCACTATGTGGCCTTCAATTATGTGGTGACAGAAATACAGTTTCCTGTACTAAGAGACAATGCATTTTAGGGTGTTACCACTAACAAAGAGCAAAACAGGAATGTCAGAGTGACCCATATTTCATCATTAGTGCTTTGCTCATTTAGTTGTAGATATTTATATTTTATGTCAGTCAAAAGAAAAGAAAGTCACCATGTGATTGTTTACCATTGGATTTGTACTTCTTAAAGTGTAATCCATATATATGTAAATGATCAACATTTTTCCCTTCTTGCATTTTCATAGCTGTGTATTTTGTAAGTCTTTCTCATATGGTAGCTACAAAAATCAAGGCTCTGAGAGGGTAGGAGAATATCTTTTGAACCAGCACAAGCTTATAGAGCTGGAGATATTTATTTAAATGGCAGAATGGTCTCCCAAGTAAAACACACACACACACACACACACACACACACACACACACACACACACACACACACACACACACGTCTCAAGCACTTCTGGTGTCCACAAAGAGGAAGACATGATTATAGCCACTGGTTGTATATGTATCCTTACATACAAGGGTTTGAATTTTAAGAGGGAAGCATGCTCTGTACTTACTGAGATATAATCCAAATGCAGCAGCCATGCAAAAGGGACAATTATTTTCTTAGATTTTTCTACAGGTTAAGTGTTCTAATAGCGGTCAATTTTCTCTTATTTATCTACAGTTAAGAATGGACAAAGAAGATTCCAATATTTACTTTTCAGAAACCAACATCAACCCTTACTTTATGCCAAAATATATTTGTTAAGTGTAATATCAAATAATAGTTGGCTTTTCTGTATAGCTCTTATAGATACATTTTAAAGCAATTACTCAAGTTAAAAATTAGTTTGTTTAAATGCGTTCACTGAAATACAGGCAGCTTTCTTACGAGAACGTTCAGATCTCTGTTTTACCTCTAGCTTTGTATAAAAGGGATCACTTTTCATCAATTCAAACTTTTATTACATTCAGAATAATTAAAACGTCAAATTTAAAATATTTTGTAAGGCGAGAGGTGAAGATCTATCTTTTACTAAAACAGTGTTGTAATATCCAATGTTTTCTGCCTTTTTGTTTAGCAATTATGGATGTATTTCACATGTTTGGTAAAAATTAAAAGTGAGCTTTTACAAAATGCCTGATATTTAAATAATCCTGATGCAAATCTCTTCTTTTGAAGTGTCTCGCTCCTTTCTCCCTCTCCCTCCCATCCCCGCTTTTTCTCTCATCTTATTATATAGCCCAGGCTGGCCTCAACCTCTAGATCTTCCTGCCTCAGCATCTGAAGTGGGGTATATCACTATTCCTGGTTGCTCTGAAATATTTTAAGACAAAATGAAACAAGGAAAGAGAGAGAATGGGCTTAATGTCTATACTGTGTAAGGGGATATACGTGATGTCATATTTGACCAGACTAGAAGATCACGAAGGGTGAACGCACAGGAGCTTGACACTAGACAGTCTCAATTTTGTACTTGGGTGCTCTCTTGTTAGCACATTTCTTTATACTCTGTAGGAGCACATATAATATTCTAACATACTAGCATTATTTTTTTCATTGAAATTTACAAGAGAATGAACCATGTTAAAGTAAATATTTCAGTGATTAGGACATTCATAATTTTGTACAACTGCTATTTCTAATTTCAAACCATTTTCCTCACTCCCAAATCCTATATCCACTAAGAAACAGGTCATTCTTCATTTCCCATCCCCAAGTCCGGAGCAATCAACTATCTGCTTTTTTTTTTAATTTACATACTCTGGACATAAAGGGGGTTCAAATCTGTCATTAATTTAACACCTTGTTGCAGGCGCCAGTGCATCATTCCTGCAGGTGGGGGGGGGCACTACTGGAGTTTGAACTCAGGGTCTGCACACTATTCCTTAGCATTTTCTACTCAGGGTTGCTGCACTATCACTTAGACCCACTACAAACACACACACACACACACACACACACACACACACACACACACACGAAAGAAAACCAAAGACATATGAAGACCCCTTGTACAAAAGCTTCTTTTATTATTATTGTAAAGGTGATATATAAGGGGTTACAGTTACATAAGTCAGGTAATGAGTACATTTTTTTCTGAACAGTGTCACCTCTTCCCTCGTGTCTCCATTTCCTCACTGTATGCTGGGCTGTCTCATCTCTGCACCCCACAGCCTACCCTGATCAGCTCCATCCAGGCTCTTCACACTCTTGACTCTGTTTCCTTGTGTCCCAGAGCTCTTTGCAAAGAAGGACCATGAATTATTCATTATTATTATTATTTCAACTCCTAGGTTTTAAACTATGTAAAAGGTGTGCAAAACTAGGTAAACCAAATTTAATCAAAACACTCTGCCTAGGCAAATCAAGAGGCAATAAGACCAATCAAGAAGACAAAAAAAAGTGTGGCTGAGGATGAGCAACTGGAATCCTCACTCATTCACCAATGGGAACACACAATAGTGCACACATTTTGGCAGTCTGGAAGTTCTAAAAAGAATTGTGATCCTAGCTACTCAGGAAGCTGAGATGTGAGGATCATGGTTTAAAGTCAGCCTGAGAAGGAAAGTCTAGGAGACTCTTATGTTCAATTGACCACCCCAAAAATTCAGAAGTGGAGTTGTGGCACAAGTGGTAGAATGGTAGGGAAGCTCAGGGTCAACACCCAGACCCTGAGTTCAAGCCCCAGGACTGGCACAAAAAAAGGGGGTTAAACCCTCACTTACCATATGCCTCAGCAATTCCATTTGTAGATATACCCCCTAGAGAAAACATAGGCTTGCCGAAAAGTTTTGATAGAAATGATCACAATCATACTATTTGTAGCCACCAAAAACTTGAAATAATTCAAATGTCCATAAACTGGTAAATAGAAGAACAGTATGTGGTGTGTCCAGGTAATGAAATACTATTCATCCAAAAAAAAAAAAGGAGAAATAGAGACTTGATAATGCTACAAACGAATGAACCTGGAAAACATAATGCTAAAAGATAGAAGTCAGTCACAAAGGAATATATTGTACAAACTTTATTCATATAAAATGACTAGAAAAATCACCTAGAGACAGACAGCATCAAAGTGGTTGGTTAGAAGAGGAAGGGAAATTCGCTCCAAACACGGTTCAAGAAACTTTGGAGCGTGATCAGGTGTTCTAAATCTGGCCTGTGGTGATAGTTGCACAACTAATTACTGTGCATACCCAAAGCCTGAACTCCACGCGAGAAACTGTACTCGGGTTGCTCATGGCTTGGCCCTCTCGGCCCAGATCAGAACCAGCACTGCTCTAGCTCGGCCCAAGCCTGAAATGTGGACCACCGAATACCTCATTTTGGGGGTGAGGGCAAAGGCTCGGGGATGTCCTATCACAGCAGCGAAGATACACGTGTATCCCCACTGACGGCCACCTTGGGGTCCTACAGTGGGGAAGGGGACACACACCAGGCTGCAAAGCACCTCTCCCCGCTAGAAGGCCTGGGGCAAAGTCTGCCAGTTTTCCTATAGGAGCAAAACCCGCTTGGGGCTGGGGGTGCAGAGAGGAGTCTCCCGCGCTGGGCTGGGGCTTCCATTGCTGGTCGCGCAGAGCTACAGGGCCATGTGCTGTGCGGTGCGGGAAGCATTGCCTTTCCCGCTAGGGCCCCAAGCCCTGAGCTTAAAACCTGCCCTCCCAGGTGCAGTCGGAAAGCTAAGGCATGCGGCAGCGCCTCCTGGCGGTCAGAACCGATCACAGCAGGCGCTGCGGCCCAGCGGAGCAGAATGCAGGGGAGCCTAACCGTGCCCAGCTGAAGGCAGCACAAGAAAACGAAGCCCGTCCCAGTAAGTCCGTTCAGCCAAGCCCAGCCAAAAGCAAGAGCCGAGCCGAGCTCACCAAAGTCCAGACAAAAGCAGCCGAACTCAATTGAGTCCAGCTCAATACAGCCGAGCACACCCCTGCCTAGCCCAGCCGAAAGAGGCGAACCCAAACTAGGACAGACCAGATCAAACCAAGTTGATTCGAGCCTAGTCAAACCTAGCCAAAGACCTCAGCCCAGCCCACCCTAATCGAGCCCAGCCTTGCCGATTCCAGCCGAGCTCGTCGAGCGCAGCCAAGTCCAGCGGAGCCTAGCTAGAGCCCATCCCAGCCGGAAGGTAGTGGAGCGCAGCGAAACACAACACAGGCACACTGAGCGTAACTGAAGGCGGCTGAGCCCAGCCGAATGCAGTCTTACCGAGCCTAGCCAAAGAACCAAGTGCAGCCGAGCAGAGCACAGCCGAAAGTAACCGGATGCCGAAAGCTGAGCCAATCCCAAGCAAGCCAAACCAAGCCAAAGGTAGTCGAACTCCATCCTGTCGAGCCCAACTGAGTAAGTAGAACTC